GCTGCAGGGGTCCAGACGAATTTTCGTTTGGTAGAAAGAGTATCCGTAATAGGAAATACACACGAAGAGAAATTTTGGATAAATCTCCTGTACCACCCTGCAAGTCCAAGGAAGCCACGAACTTGTTTTATAGTTTTTGGTACAGGCCATTAAAGTATAGATTCGACCTTTCCTGGGTCGGTTTTTATTCCACCGTTTCCAATTATAAAACCTAAGTATTTCACTTCTGTCACGCAGAATTTACTTTTTTAATGTTAATTGTAAGGTTAGCCCTTCGAAATTCTTGTGCAATACGCGCTAAAACTGCTAAATAGGAGGAAAAGTCTTTTGACACTATGATCAGGTCATCAAAGTATCCAAAAACACAAGTCTTCAAATCTGGTGGGATCAATTCATCAATAAGCCGACACATTGTTTGTGGCGCATTACATAAGCCAAAAGGCATTACGACGAATTGATACAATGGCCTTCCCGGAACTGTAAAGGCCGTAATTGGTTTGGCCTCATCGGCGAGGGCCAATATGCGTCCTTCAAATCCAGCTTTGAAATCAGGTTAGCTTTAGGAAGCCTAGAAAATATTCCCTCAATGCTAGGTAAAGGATATGCATCCTTTTTCGTCACTAAATTGACTTTTCTTGCATCTAAGCATAAACGAATTTTGTTTGGCTTTACTACCAAACGTATAGGGGAACTCCATGGTGATGATGAAGGTTTTATCACCCCTAAGGCCAACATGCGATCAATTTCTTGATACATCAGTTTCTCCACTGCTGGAGAAACTGGATAGAACCTCTGTTTAATTGGCTTAGCATTAGCTACGTCAATTTCATGTCTAATTAGGCTGGTTCTCCCGAGACCGTGTGTTTTAAAATTTGGAAATAACTCTATTATAGCAGTTAACTGCTGAAGTTGACCTGGAGTTAGTGGATAGGTATGTTCATCTAAGTTGCCAGACTTTTCGATACTAACTGACTGGACATCGGATAATTTTTCTAAAACAGACAATTCAGAAGGACTGTCAGACAAACGGACTGATAAATCGGACACAACTGCAGAGTCAAATATATCTGCCGCTAATTTAAAGGTTTTCCAAAAATCAATCCCTAAAATCAAACGCTGGGATATTGAAGGGACAATTAACAATTTTAATTTGTGAACTTGGTTTCGGAAAGTGATATCTACGATCAAATAACCTAATGTCTTTTGTACTTTCCCGTCCGCAGTTTTAACAATAGTTTTAACATTACAAAAGTTATCAAAATTAGAAAAATCTGTTTCAGCTAAACCAGATCCAATGCAAGATACGTTTGCACCGGTATCTAACAAACCATATTCGGTGAAATCCAAAAACTTTACTTGTGCGTAATAACGCTTATCTTTGGGATTATTCATTATCGAAGAAATTATATATTTAGATAAGGCTTTTCGACGTTTAAAATAATTGCGTAATCTTAAAGTGGATCGTTTAGGTCTTTTGGGTTTGTCATGGATAATTGACTCTACATGAAAGATTTGGTTTCGTTTGTCAAGGTAGTCTTTTAAACGTTGGTGGTATGGACGAATTGGTTGAAGTTGAATGTCAGGGGATAAACTACGAATGGTAGAAATATCGGCGACTTTCCGAACAGTCAATTGCGAATTTGTTTTTAGAGAACTGTTTCTTCGATACAGATCTTCTCCCAACAAATTCTCTCGCATCTGTACCAATTTTCTTAAATGTGCAATTGAATATATTGGTACATACAACAATTCATGTCGAATATCTGAACGCAGATTTCTGACAAGAATTTCAACAAGTTCTGATTCTGCCATGGGGGTTTCCAACCTATCCAAAATAGAACAAATGGCTTCATAAAAGTTTTCAAAAGTTTCGCCATTTTTCATTTTCCGATTTCTCACCTCTTCTCTGATATCATAACTAGAGCGGAAATCTTTGTACTGATATCTTAAAGCAGCACAAAACTCAGACCATTGAATGGAGTCTACCTGTTTATGATATCTCCAATACCAGTCTCTGGCTTTGCCAGTGAGTAGCATATGGAGATTTTTACAGATTAAATTAAAATCATCGTTAAAATTTTCCTTCGTTAATGACCTTACACGGTAAAGGAACTCTTCAACACTCAGACCATTAGATGAACCATCGAACTTGAGGTTCCAGTTCTGGATGATTGAAGTAACCTTTTCTGAACGTAATGATACATGTTCTTCAAAACGATTATTAGAATTTAAATGATTACTATTCTCTGAATATAAAATTCTTTCTGGTTGGAGATTTGGTCGACGGGGATCTTGATTTGTATTATTAGATGAAAGGTTAAGGTTTTGCAGAGCTCTAGTAATACTAGACTCAATAATTTGATTTATTCTCGAATAATCTATATTTCGATTAGATCGATGGAAATTGTTTGGCATTTGTACAGGCGAATGCAGATTGATATTTGAATCACGACGATGATTATCAACTGGTGTGAAAGGCATTTCAGCATCATTTGGAACAGTTGGGGAATTGTGAGGAGTTAACTCCGATGAAGCAGTTGGATTATCCTCATTTGCAAAATTTTTATCTAAATTTCGGGCATTATAACGTTTAGCCATAGCACCACGAGCTTTACTTCGTGTGTATGGTTTAGATTTCGAAATAGAATAACTTTGTGAATTACTTAAATCAGTACCTAAAGTCATCGTGTTTGATGCTGAACAAGATTGTGAGCTATATTTACGAAGATCTACTAATTCACATGGTCTTCGACATTTAGGGCATTCTGCGGATTGTGACAAGGATAACTCAATACAACTACGATGAAAAATATGGTTACAAGTTGCTATTACATAACATTCTTGAGAATCAAGAATCAAGGAAGCTTTACAAATAAGACAAGTTGACTCAGATCTTGAGTGAGAATCTTGTGGTGGTGGACTCTGGGCTATAGACATTTTGGTATAGTTTAATGATATTTAGGAATAAATTCTTAAAAAAAAAATAGAAAATCTATATGAAAAAAATTTTTAATTTTTTTCAGTGTTGATGTTAATAGTTTAGAATTTAACAAATATATAACGTTTAGGTTCTTTCTTTGGTGAGCGAATAATATCCAAGTAGAGTAGACATGTATAATATGTAATAATTGATAAAGATACAAATTTGGCTATGGAGTTTGAAAAGCATAACACTGATCAAAATAGTATCAGCAATGTTTGAAGGTCATGAAACATCATTTAAGCATATTACATATCCTCTTCCACAAATAATGATATACTTTGAAACAGAATTATGAATTCCAATAAAATTTTGAAAAAAAATTAAAAAAAAAATGATATCTTATAAAGGAAAATATTGCAAACTACTTTATCGGTTAAAATATCTGACACAATCAAATAATCAAAACTCCAGACAAATATTTACAATTATTCAACGCTTAAGATATAATTAGTAAACTTTTCCCAAATTTTAAAATTTTAATGAAATTTACTGGATTTTATTAATTTTAAATATATTTATTTGGTGCAAAAGAGATTTCAGGTATATAGAATTTTTAGCTCGTCTCACATTCTAGCTGTTGGCAATTGAAATTCCAGAAAACATTATTATTAAAACCTACGGACAGTATATCTGACACAATCAGACAACTGTAAATCCGAAAAAGATTCCCAAAGTTTAATAATGTTTTACCACTAACAATACAAAAATTATACCGCAAAGGTTTTTTTTTTTTTTGTTTTATCTCTTCGTGCCCCACGTTGGCCGCCATTCTATGTAATGTTCACCAACATATTTCTATCAATACAACTCTTAGTAATACGAAAGGAAAATATGTTATGTATGAGAGACTGTTTTGATAGAAAGTATTTAGTGTGAAGCTTAAGGAGGACGTGGGAGCCATTAATGAGCTAACTTCAATCGGGCGGGAGGTTCGTGTCCTTTTAAGTTTCAGTAGTCTCAAACACATTGGTTACATACAAGAAAATTATATTTTAGACTCCCGTTTTTTTTTTTTTTTTTTTTTTTTTTTTTTTTTTAAATGAAACAAAATTTAAATGTTGGAAAATGCGCCTTTCTAATGAAATCATGATACAAAAGATCAATTACTACAAATTTGTTTCTCCTGATGTTGTTGGAGTATTGAGCCTCTCTTAACCCTAAACTGCCATGGTTTTACAGGCCACTTTAGTTTCGTGTAAAACCCCTATACATATCTCTACTGGCTATTCCCTCACCGAAAGAAAACTAATTGGCAATTAGAAATCCATATTTAAATTAAATTTATTCAAAACATGTTAAGAAATTTTTTAATAAGAATTATTATATTATAAGAATTATTAATTTTTTACAAAATTAAGCTTACATTAAACTAATGAGAAGCGCATAGTAGTCGACGTGCGATTAGTCATTTAACGAAATATTGAATAAATACTTATTGTTTGAACACTAATAAAAGTGGTATAACAAAAATTTAAAGTTTCAATATCTGTAGCAAACGAAAATAATAAGTACTATTGAATACTTTAGCAACAAGTATTGTAAAATCTCTATTATAGATGTTGACAAATATGATGATCTAAAGGGGGGTAATCTATAATAAGATCAAAGGGGGTAATCTATAATAAAGATATAATTATAATTACTCAGAAATTGAATAATTATAATTGGGGTTGGAGAGAAATTTAAGGGTTAGTTGAATATTGTTTAGGCTGGTTCAATAGCATAAATATCACCTTTTTATTTTCCTTTAGAAATGATGAGGTAAGTATTTTTAGTTTTCAATACAATTCAATTTTGGGTTCCTTTATTAGGTTTCTTCAGTTTAAGGTAAGTATACAATGGCAATGGTAAAGGTTAATTTCAAATCTTTAGTTTTACGGTAAGTATAAAATGATTAATAGACTGAGCTTCTTGGTGGTTCTAGCGCAAGTGAGTTTTCTTAGCTTGTTAAATTTAAAAGTTAGTTATTAAATTTCCAATACGTTATAACTTCGTGTATTTAACGAAAACTGGCGATAGAAAAACTTAGCGCTGCCACATTTTGTATCTTTTACGATATCGCTTACACTTACAAAAAAGCTTATATTAATTGAATTTCAAATAATTAATATAAAAATTATATAAATTATAATTTTAGTGTTCAAACTCGTTTGGACATGCCGCCGGCCTTGGCACTAGGCAAGAATTGGACCCTCTTGGGCACATAATACGTGAGCCAGCGAACGAATCGCCTCCACTAATATTTTAACGTCTGGTGTTGTCGATTTAGTTGGTGTTATAGCTGATTGAGTGATTTGTTGACTGCCTTGCTCTTGGTTGTCACGACTATCTGGCTGTTGACGTTGTTGCTGACGGTTTGACTGCTGACGGTTTGACTGCTGACGTTGACCTTGTTGCTGTTGATGACGAACCCGTTGACGATGTGGGTGCAACAATGTGTGATGATAGCTGTAACATATCCTGCAAGTGTCCATCGATTGACAAGCTCTTATTGTGTGGCTTTTTGCCAGACAATTGATGCAATAGCCATGGTTCTCCACCACGTCCTCTCTCTTCTTAGGGCTCATTTTCATAAATTTGCGACAAAATCGCAGTGCGTGAAAGCTGGCACACAGCGCACACTTGTAAATGTCCGGGTCGCGTCTTCTAGCACTACTGGTTGTTTGGCGGCGTCGATTTAAAGTAGGCCGGGTGGTTTCGTCTTGACTTCTAGTGCTATGGGATGTTTGGCTACGACGACTTAAAGTCGGCCGTGTGATTTCGAGCCTTCGGTTGTTCCTATGGGTATAAATAACTTTATTAGAAATGAATAAATGTAAGTGGGGAGGTTATGTGCTGTTGAATGGAAAGTTATATGTATATAATTTTAGGAATATAAATGAGCAATATGTGAATGTGTGTAGGTAAGCTAAAGTTTAAGTGAAGTGATATGAGAATAATAATGTGAATTCATATATATTATATTATAATAAAGGTTTTGGTTAATTTTAGACAGAAATTCTGAGATCTAGGAAAGGGGTTCGCTTTTATTTGCAAAGGGAAGAAGACATAATTTAACAATTGGGCGAGTTATTGTTCCGGTAGCAATGCGTACCTCAGCTGCACGTATATTGTTATCAGAACCTGGGAATGTTTTCTCAATCCTTCCCAGACGCCATTCGTGGGGTGGTAATAAATCATCTATTACAACTACGAGGTCACCAACATGAATGTTTGGAGAAGAGTTCTTCCATTTGTAGCGCTTGTGTAGAGACTTAAGGTAGTCTTCTTTCCATCGTATGGAACATTGATGGTGAATTGCCTTTAATTTTTCCCATCGGTTTATAAGGGACATATCCTGGAAGCTTTGTTCTGGGAACGCTATCAAGGGAGCGCCTCTTAAAAAGTGACCTGGAGTCAATGCTGTCAGATCTGTGGGATCTTCAGATAGTGCAGATATTGGTCGAGAGTTGAGTACTCCTTCAATGCGAGCTAACACAGTAGCCAATTCTTCGTAAGTGAATTTATGGGACCCTGCAACTCGTTTAAAGTGGTATTTGAAGCTTTTTACGGCGGCTTCCCATAAGCCACCCATGTGCGGAGCGTGCGGTGGTATAAATTTCCACTCGAACCCGTGAGTAATGTATTTCTGAGCTATGTCGTGAGCTGCGTTTTCAACAAAAGCTGAAAATTCGACTTCAAGTGCTCTACTGCAACCGAGAAAATTTCTGCCATTATCAGTTACTACCCTTTGGGGTAGGCCTCGTCTCCCAACGAAACGACTAAATGCGGCCTGAAATGCAGCAGAGGATAGATCTGAGCAGGGTTCTAGATGTATGGCTTTCGTGCTGAAACAAACGAAAACACTGACGTAACCTTTAACATAGGGTGATTTTCTTAACGAAGATGTCTTTAAATCAAACGGGCCAGCAAAATCAATACCCGTTATTTGAAAGGGTAAAGAAAGGTTACATCTCTCTGGAGGTAAGGGTGCCATTATTTGTGAACATGGCTGCTGTTTGAATACTATACAACATTTACAGTTACGTATTATCTTTTTAATACGCGGTTTGAGTCTGAATATAAAAAATTCAGTTTGTACTGCTCTGTACATTTGACTGCATTCAGCGTGACATAGAAATATGTGTAAATGGGTTAGATACAATTGGCAAAATCGAGAATTGCCAGGTAAAATGATAGGGTAACGTTCCGAATAAGGAAGAGAGGATTGAGATAATCTTCCATTTACTCTCATAATAGAATTTGGATCTAGAAATGGGTTCAAACTTTTGAGGGGACTTTTGTTTGAGATAGTCTTAGAGTTATTTAGACAATTATATTCATCTGGGTAAAAACTTTTCTGAGCTAAAATAATTAGTCTAGTTTTTGCATTTTTCATTTCGTTTTGAGTCAAATGATACGGAGCTTTACTATTTTCAATTGGTTCTCGCTTTTTTAGGGATTGATTACAGAATCTAAAAATGTAACAAAAAATGCGTAATGCCTTGGGGTATGATGAATATTTATCTAAAATATCATTTCTATCAACTTCGATGTGTAAGGATTGAGTTTCTGTGCATTTTTCGATAGAGTTAAGAGGATTTCGTTTTGGCCATGCAGAAGAGGGATTGGTTAGCCATGAAGGGCCATGCCACCAGAGGGAATTGTGAGCAAGTTCATGTGATTTGCAGCCACGTGTACCCAGATCGGCTGGGTTGTCGTGCGTTGAAACGTGTTGCCATATTGCATCTGGAGCAATGAGATTGATCTGAGAAACTCTGTTGGCCACATATGTCTCCCATGTTGAAGGGGGTTTAGAAAGCCAACCCAGGACTATGGATGAATCAGTCCATAAATATATATCTTTGGTTTTAAAATTCAATGTAGAGTTAACGTACTTAAGGAGCTTTGTTAAGAGTAGGGCTCCGTTAAGTTCAAGCCTTGGAAGACAAACTGTCTGAATTGGAGCAACTTTACATTTGGCTACTAACAAATTTGAAAACGCTGTGTGGGTATGAGTTTGACACCTTACATATAACACTGCACAGTATGCTGTTTTGGATGCATCAGAAAACCCGTGAATTTGAATAGTGTCTGAAGGTGTATATTGTAGCCAGCGGGGTATAGAGATAGTTTCTACTTTCTGTAGATCTTGAACAAGAGTATTCCAATTTTGAAGGGAATCTTGGGAAACTTCTTCGTCCCATTGTAGTTTTTCTAACCACAATTGTTGCAACAAAATTTTTGCTCTGATGACTATTGGAGCCAGCCATCCAGCGGGGTCAAATAATTTTGCAATCGAGGAGAGGATTTGTCGCTTTGTTATCTTTGTAACTTGATCGATTTCTGCAAATTGATAAGTAAACGAGTCATTTAACGCATTCCATTTAATACCAAGGGTTTTGGTAGCGCTCGTCTCATGGAAGCGAAGAAAATCAAGATCATAAAGATCTTCTTTTGGTAAATGTGTGAGAAGTTTGGGATTATTTGCGGTTATCTTTTTTAATGGGAAACCCGCGGAATTTAAAACTTCTATAAGCTGAGTTTGGGCAGTGAGAGTTTCTTCGATTGTATAGCCACCAGACAGAATATCATCAACATAAGTTTCCGTTCGCAGAATTGATGATACCTTTGGGTACTGGGATTCTACATCTAAAGCGAGTTGTAAAAGGGTGCGAATAGCTAAAAAGGGGGCGCAGTTTACTCCAAAAGTAACTGTTTTTAACTCAAAATCTTTAATAGGGCTGTCTGGTTGTCTTTGGAACAAAATCTTTTGATAGGGTCTATCATCTGGGTGTATAAGTATTTGGCGATACATTTTTTGAATATCGCCACTAAATACAAATTGATATTTTCTCCAATTGAGTATTGTTGTGATTAAATCACTTTGAAGAGTAGGGCCTGCATAGAGAACATCATTCAGTGAAACTTGAGACTTTGTTTTTCTCGACGCGTTGAATACGACTCTAACCTTTGTGGTTTTGTGTTCTGGTCTCACAACCGCGTGATGGGGTAAATAATATGAGAGATATTTGCCTTGAGATATAATTTCTTGGGAGTTAGATTCTTCCATATGATTTAGTGATAGATACTCTTCCAAAACGGCTTTGTATTGGGACTGTAACTCTGGATCTTTCGATAGTGTCTTTTCCATTCTAGAGTATTGAGCAAGGGCTACGAATCTTGAAGATCCGAGGAAAATTTCTTTAGGATATTCTGTCTTAAATGGTAATCTAACTATATATCTACCATTTTTATGACGAGTGGTTGTCTGAGCATAGAAATTTTCACAATATTCATCTTCTTTTGAGTTTGTGTTAACCGATGGGATTTCTTCATCTTCCCAAAACTTTTTTAAGAGTGTAGCGAGTTCATAATTTTCATTCGAGCTGACTTCAGTTGTGAAGGCTTGAATTGGTTCAACTTTAATGGGACCACTAAGTACCCAGCCAAAAATAGTTTTATAGGCAGATGTTTTGCCACAAATATTCTTTCTTATGCCATCGAGATTGATAAAATGCTCATAGTCATTTCCTAAAATTAAATCAATTTGGGAAGTTTTATTAAAAGTTGGGTCGGCTAGATCTAAGTTTTCAAGTTCTTTTGTGTTAGGGATTTCAAATGAACATGCTGGGAGCCGTTTTGTTACTTTTGGCAAGACTATAGCTTTTATAGGGATTCTTATATTTGTTCTTTTGGCATATAGTGTGAACTCACATTCTTTATTTGCTGTTTGCTTTTGACCACCAATACCCACGATTTCGAAATGAGTATTTTGATAAGGGAGCTGAAGGCGATTTCTGATTCGTTCAGTTAAAAATGTTCGTTGAGAACCAGGGTCAATTAAAGCTCTAATAGTAAATAGTTCGCCTCTACATTCTATTTGCATGAGTGCAGTTCGTAATAGAATGTTCTCATTGCTAGTAGAACAATTAGCTTGAATGTGTTTTGAGGTAGTAGGCTGCTCACTTTGAGTGTCATTTTGAGTAATTTTTGGGAAAGAGTTTTGGGAACTAATGGGTTTGTTTGAAACATTTTCAGCAATTTCTTTATTATTGGCAGTATTTTGAGACTTTTTAGCCATATGCAATAGGGTGTGGTGCTGTTTTTTGCAATAGAGACATGTTCGTTTGCTCTTGCAGTTTACTTTAATGTGAGAATGTCCTAAACAATTATTGCAATATTTATTTTTGAACACAAAATCAATTCTCTCTTGTACTGAGAATGATCTAAACTTTGGGCATATTCTGAGTGTATGTTCTTCATTACATAACTTGCAAGAGGAGTTTGCGTTTTCTTGTAATACATATGTTTGTATGTTTGAAGATTTAGTGAGAGACAAGCTATCTTTCGAGTTTCTGATACTTGTAAGGCGTTCAACGGCTTCATATCTATCCACAAGAAACTGTGACATTTGTGACCATTTTGGAAGCTCACGAGGGGATGTGAGCGTTTGTTCCCATAGAGAAAGAGTTAAGTCTGGTAGTTTTGTTGAAATTAGTCGAATGAGAATAGGATCCCAACTTTCGACAGCAACACCAAGAGTTTTAAGGGTTGCTAGAGAATCATTAACTGATGATTGAATACGTCTGATAGAATCACTATTTTCATTAGTAGCTGGAGGAATGTCAAAGAGAATTTTTATCTGATTGTCTACAAGAACACGCTTGTTCTCGTAGCGGGATTTTAATGCATTCCATGCCAGTTCAAAATTATCGTGTGAGAGAGGATATCTTTTTACTATATCACCAGCTTCGCCTCTTGTTTTGTTACGAAGATGATACAACTTTGTGACGGGAGTGAGCTTTAAGTGATTAATGTACACTGCTGTGAACATATCACGAAACGAGGGCCATTCTTCGTAACTACCCCTGAATACTTCTGTATCACAAGGAGGGAGCTTTATGCAATCGCTTGAGTTATTCGGCGTAATGTCCTGTCTTAAAGCTAGAGCTGGGATAGAATAGCGGGATGTTGACTGAAATACAGGCATATTTGGGGTTTCTATGTGAGAAACTTTTATTAAATCCATAATTTGGGAGGAACAGTGATAGTATGCGCTTACGCATGCATCATATTGACCTTTAGCTTGTACTTTAAATTCAGAATCAACTGTGTCACTTTGAGATAACATGACATTTTTGTAAGAAACATCTAAATTTGTCCATCTTGTTTCCAAGTCTTTTAACTTAATTTCCAGAACTGATTCCGTTTGATCTTCTACTTCAGTTCTGTTGAATAAGTCGCAAAAGTGAAGCAAATGTTCACAATTGAACAGAAAACAATCTTTAGAGGGAGAACCAGTTAAATCGTTGGACGTAGCATTGGACGTAGATGTATTGGATGTAGAAGTCATTTTGGAGATTGAAATGTTACTAGGTTTTAATAAGTGAATACAATTGAACCCTGAGTATATGGGTGTGATTATAGTGAATGAACTTTATAATGAATAGAGTTTAGAGTACGACACTAAATATGTTATTTAGTTAATTAAGGCAATTTTTTAGGTAAAGTTTTAAAGAGTTATAGCATTAAACACTTTTTGTATATTGTTAATAGTTAAATTTACTACTCTGCTCGTTGTGATAGAGATAAAAAACTATAGGAAATATAGCAATAGTTGCGAACAGAGCATGTAAAATTGCCTAGTTGACTAAATTCACTTTTATTAGCACTGATTTAGTGGGTTAAATTGATAAAAGCGTGAAAAATATTTAAAAAAAATCTTATTTTTGCAGAATGTAGAAAAAATACCAAATTTGGGGCTAAACTGTTTCGAAAATTTAATATTAGTTAAATTTGTACTAATGAATTTTGCTTTTTAAACAATTTGAGAGTTTTTAAAGTTTTCTTCCAAATATAAAATGTTTTCGGAAAATAGGGGTATGTATGTATGGTAAGTGAATCAGTTTCTCATGCAATTTTAATTTTTGTTGAAATTTCGATTCTATCGACAAATTTTCTTAAAAATTTTCTATTTTTCTTACATATATTTTTTATAAATTCTGTAGAATAGTATTAAGAGTATTTTTTAACAAGATATAAATATTGAAATATTAAGATTCAATGTGTTATAATTGTGTTGTATTTGAAATTTATTTAAAACGTGTAAAATAACACAATTGTAAATTATAGTTTTCGTTGAAATTTCTTAAAATTTTTATTTTTTGCAAATATTTTTTTTTTTTTTTATAAATTCCGAAGAATAGGATTAAGAATATTTTATAACAAGATATAAATATTGAATTATTACGATACAATATGTTATAATTGTGTTGTATTTGAAATTTATTTAAAACGAGTAAATAACACAATGGTAACTCTTATGAGAAATGTGTATACTGCAATGAGAATAGCTTAAATTGTTATTGTTTTTATAATTAAATTGTTGTGAGATTGTATTTTATTAGATTTAAACTTGTTTTTTGATTATAAAATTAATATATATAAAATTTTTCAAATTATTCTGTGGAAAAATTACAAAATACAATGTGAATTTCCATCTCTGATTTGTTTTAGGTATTCCTTTTTACGTTTATTCTTTTTTTTTTTTTGGTTTATTGTTTTCTCTTTTGAACTGACTTTGTATTCTCTATTTAAGTTACTTTGTAACAAATATTTTTCTGCTCTTTTTATAGTGGACTGTAAGCTTTTTATTTTTTCTTTAAGAGCGAGTTAAATTATCTTTGTAATGAAGTTCTAATTCAATAACAATTTCTTAAATTTTTGTCTTTTATGTTTATGTATATAAATCACAATACTATTTGGGATATGTTTGGATGAATTTGGAAAAATGATAAATGAATGATTTAAGAGATTTTATAATGGGGAAACAAATCAAAAGAGACTTACTTAATAAAGAGAACAGGAGAATGTGTGTGTAGTTGTTTATCTCTTAGCTGAACGAGTTGAAATTTCCTGGTTGAAATTCTCTTATTTGTCGGGATGATCAAATGATGTGGTAAAATTTCTTTCTGCTTTTCTTAAACACTTGTTTCTTGTATTATTTCTTTATTTGTTTTTTTTTTTTTTTATATTAATGTAACTATTTTCTTACTTATGTATCAATGTGAACTTTTTTTTTTTTTATCCTTTTCTTTTGTTTTCTATTTTTTGTATATAATAATTTTATAAAATGTGAAAAGGCAAATGAATTTGTTGCAAAAAATTTTAAATATGTATGTATGTAACTATTTTTTCACTATTGTTTTAATTTGAA